AGTAGGTCAACTATCATTATTGAGTAGCTCGGTAGACTGACCTGAGTGGTTAGCTCTGATTGCCCAAAGGATCTTTAGCTCTGCCTCAATAATCAATCTCGTTTGGGAGCTTGTGTGTAAAGCTTAGGGCATAGGTTGACTTGAGTAGAAGGCTGGGAGGTTGGACTCCTTCAGGAACTCGGATTGATAAAGAGACCTCACTCTATGGAGGTCGTAAATATGAAAGTCGTGTTTACAGCTCGAGTAGGTATCTCAGATGACAAACGTTGTAGCCTGTAGGGTGGCGAGCTTCGAGCAGGTAGCTCGGAGGCCACAAGGTTAAGAGAAGTGTAAAGTTGGCCCGAGAGCCATAGTTGCACGCAAAAGGCAGCATAACTCTGATGTGGTAAATAGTGGGCCCAGACGAGCCCAGGATCTCGACGCCATAGTCCTACGTGATAGACTTGGGCGAAAAACGATTGCTCTATTTAGAGGAGTCTTATGCTAACAAGCATGTCTAGAATAGGGGGGCTAGATGATGTAAAACCAAAAATAACTCGATGGACTGGCTTGAGCGGTTAGTTCGGATAAGGCTGGTCCAAGAAACTTTTGCCCAATTTATATATAAAAATACATAGTGTTGGTTATATATCTATGAAGGTTTAGGAAATATTCTTAAAGGATATTCATGAAAGTTGATGTATATCTACACAGTTAGTATGTGGATCAGAATCCTTGGTTATTAAAGAAACATTTTCTTGGGGAATAAGTCAATAAACACTTTATAAACCCAGGTTTATTTTCAAATCTGAAATTCTGAATATATCTCCTAATTAAATACGTTTGAAATATCAGTTTCTGGCTTGAGCGTCGGAGTGTCTACGACGGGGCCCTGCTCCCGACGCTTTGCAGGTTCGCCGATTCGCAAGACTAGGTGGTTCAACTGGCAATCATGGTGAGCCTATACTTCGAGCACATCATATTTCGTATAGCAATTGATAAGGTATAAGGATTTTGCATCATCCTCTATCGTCTTCCTCTTCTTCACCCAAAGAAGAACTATCCGAACCTGATGACTCGTTGGCCTTCCTCATATGTGGTCCTAATTGATCATCATCGTCAGTGGTCATAATCGGCGCTGTGAGTATGAGTAGCCATCACATACCATCGTATAACATTTTTATATGAGATGAGTTGGGGATGGTGAAATTAGCATGCCTTGACCAGATTTTATATGAGATGGGTTGGGCATGGTGAAATTAGCATTTACTTGACTGTAATCATGTTGGTGAAATTTGTTGGCCTTGACCGTATCTTTTCATTGCTAGTACTCAATTATACATTATATATATTTATTTAATTATCATTATTATTAAAGAATTGTCTCCTTATTGCCTCCTTGATGGAGTCGCCGCCGTCTCGATCTCCAACATCCAGAGACCGGACATGCGATCGACTGCTCTTCGGCAAAATTATCATCTGCCGGTCCATCCTCTTCAGTCTTCCCACTATTTTTTCCTCTTTTTCTATTTTGGGAATTCCTAGAGTTATGACTTATTCACGATTTTGCAGATGAATTCGCAAACGAACAATCTGAAAACTTGCTACAAATTGGTCGAGAAGTAAATTATGCAAGGTTAAACTAACCACAAAATTTTTTGGATCACATTTATCACACGCCAACCTTTGGGATGAATAACCCAACATATAGTGGATTTGCTCCCGAGCTGATCCCAGGCCGTCAATAATCATTCAGGCCGGATAAAAAACAAAGGATTAGTCAAAGATAAAGCCATGAATCCTTTCCTATCCCAGTTAACAAACAAGTCGAGTGAACATCTATTCTTGTATATGAACATGAACGTCTACTAATTCCACAAGTTCGATTTCTGCGGTACACGTTTTATGTAGGTAGAAATAAGTGTGGAAATCTTTAAATAGATAGATAGATAGATATTACCTCCATTTTAATTAGTGTAGGCAAATTATTAGCTGGTCATCAACAATTCAAATGCCCCCAATCTTCTCAAACCAAGAAAAAGTACCAGAAAACTGAACAATATGTTACAACAGTATCAGTATTGCAGCACAATTTGAGGCTTTTCGTCTATCAGAAAATGTAGTCGGGCAGCTGTAGGGGAAAGCAAGCCACTTCAACTGCAAATGGGTCACCCTTTGGATCTACTAACCTGAACACACATTGACACAAATCAAC